CTCTATAGTCTACTATTTACCCAAGGTTGGGACAATATTAATAATATTAAAATCTTACCACAGTGTCTCTATAGTCTACTATTTACCCAAGGTTGGGACAGCATTAATAATATTATACTCTTACCACAGTGTCTCTATAGTCTACTATTTACCCAAGGTTGGGATAACATTAATAATATTAAAATCTTACCACAGTGTCTCTATAGTCTACTATTTACCCAAGGCTGGGATAACATTAATAATATTATACTCTTACCACAGTGTCTCTAGATAAACAGTACCAAAGTAAGATGGCCATTAGTGAGTTTGTTTAACTATTTTTAGAGTTCAGAGGGAAAGGGAGCAACACATGGATATGTTTCAGAAAGAGGTTACACAGAAGATCGAGGAGGAATGGAAAGGCAAACTTGTTCAGTTGAGGGTAAGATTGAATTTTAGATTTGTTTTTTTAACAATTGATGCTATCAAACTTGTCACATGAATGTGGAACGTCATCTTTAAAAACTTGTTTGTGGTAAAATGTAAAAGAACAGAATCCTCCTTTCATGAGGATTTTATGTATTAGTTTGGTTTTGATGAACTTTAATAATGTGACCATTGAGTTGCTTTTTTCAGAAACAAAGACTTTCGTGTGGTTTGGGGTCATTTAATGTTTAAAATTGGAAGAGATTTGAACTCCAAAATTTGGTTTGTTAGATCTAATATTTTAGTTTGTGGCACGTTTGGTTTTTGCATGAAGTACTTGGTTATGTGGTTTACACATAATAATTTATTTTAATAAAGCTGAGTGGAGGATATGAAAGTCATTGTAAGTCAGAAACTGAAAAAAATGTTTGCTTGTTTTTTAACAGCTGGAGTTCGGACAAAATATGGCTATTGTAACAAACATAAAAATTAATTTCAGTTCTTAAAATAAGGTGGTCAAACATGGCCTGGTGGTTAGTGAGCTTGTCTCAAGATCCGTGGGTCACAGGTTTGAATCTCGTCGTCGAACATGTTATCTCTCTTTCAACTGTCAGGGAGATATAATGTGATGGTCAATCTCACTTTTTGTTGGTAAAGAGTAGCCCAAGAATTGGTGGTGGGTGTGTTTACTAGCTGCCTTCCCTCTAGTTTATCACTTCTAAATTAGCTTCGCAAGAAATTCAACGAAGGCTTTTATGTTTTATTTGTAAAATGTTTATCTGAATTTATCAAATATTGTAAGTTGTTTTGAAAGTTAAGCTCTTTGGAATTTTTGTTTTTTCATTTTAGGAAGAAATGGATTCGGAACGTAGAAGAGAACTGGAAGATAAACATAATTTATGGGAGAAACAGAAAGAGGAAGAAATAAAAGAACTGCAAGAAAGGTTGGATCAAGACCATAAGAGCGAAGTAGAATCACTTCGTTCTCGATTTAGATTGGCTATCAGCACGACAACAATGGAGAGGTCACCATCTGATTCAAGTCTTGAAAAGAGTCAAGTCCAGGTACTTATTTCACCTGACATACTCAGTACCCCAGAAATTGTGTATTCAAAGACATGGCTATAGTTGTCATTACACGAGTTACTTATTTCTGCCCTTATGTTAAGTTGGGGATTATTATTTTCCAAGTGCCCCATGGCATACTGAATATGAATTTACAGGATACCTGGAGCGGTGTCAAATCCTAAGTTGATTTCTAAATAAATACTCTTTAAAGATCTATCTAACTGAAATTTTGACAGAGGTTTGTATATTTTTTATGTATTTTAGTTTGTAAATAAAATTGACTGATTGTTATATAGTCTTAAGAAAAATATCTTAACCTTAGAACTACTGATGTGAACTTTTTTAACTTTTTGGCTTTTTTAATTCATAAGTGCTTGTGGGTCCATGATTCTGTTCTCTCCCCTCCACCTCAGGATGGCTCAGTGGTAAGTTCAAGTGCTTTTCACGCTAAAATTAAGGTTTCAACACCCACAGTGGGCACAGTACAGATAGCCTACTGTGTGACTTTATGCTTATCAACAAACAAACAATAATTCTGTTGTTTATAGGGTTCTTAATAACAAAAATAAACATTACAGTTAATCTTACTAATTACTGCTGTGATGTATTTTACAGGAAAAATGAGTGATTTGACCTTTTCCATCTGTTACTTCTTTACACTAAGTGTTGTATATATATATATATATGGA